TGACTTGAACATGTCTGCTGAGAGTATCCATTCTCAAAAGTGAAGAGGAGGCATAGCTACGAGAGGTAACAATTACTGAACATTGGTCTAACTTCTCTTTACAAATGATACTAGTAGCTAATGAAGACTGTCTGAGTTGTTCACTTAGTTCATCCCAACCATCAAAGATTATCAGTAATCCTTCTCCATCCCTCACCTCAAACCATTCAGGTACATTTTTATATCTATTAAGTTGATGCAGAAATAGGTCAGTTAGTGTAGTAGCTGTAGCTATCTTGCTATTCCTTAATGGACAGTAAAGTACCAAGTCATACTGTTCGTGTACAAGCGTTCCATTAGACCACATATTTAACAGTTTATGACAGAGTGTGGTCTTGCCAATACCAGGAGGACCGTCTATTACTACTCTGAGAGACAGAGAACTATATGTGGGTTGGAGGACATCTTCAACACTTATCCCTTTGTTTTCAGTTAGTTTAACTGTTTTATCAACTTTTCCTCTTAACAGATGCCAAGCTGATTCTGCTTGTGAACTGGAGTCTTGTTTTTCTATTAGTGCTAGTCTTCCAAAGAAATCTCTTCCAATTCTTGGTGGCCAGTCTGTAGCAACAATAGGTTGGTGTTTGTAGTGTTGTCTCATATTGTCAGCATATCCTTGAACATCATCAGGTATTGAACTAATGGGTTTAGCTACATCAGACTGACCTATTGATCAAGCAAGATTGATAAAAACAATGTATACACATCAAGTGACTTTTTTACCTCTTATATTAGTAACTGGTGCATTAGATGTATCATCAACTGGTGATGGTAGCACAGTATGTGAACTGACATTATCAGGTATAGACTGACCTATTAATGTATTGAGATATGGCTACTATTGGTCACTGCACACACTTGCATTTATTATGCATTGACATTGATTTAGTATCTTACCTATATATGCCAGAAGGTTAGATTTTGCTTTGCCCAGTTGATCCGGATAATCATTACAAAGTTTTAATAATGTATCCCAATTAACATCTTTATCAGTATCAAACCACCTCTCAAATACAACAATAAGATTGGTAGTTGCTGCTTCTGGTATTGGCATCAGATCAGACACCTTTACATTCAATCCAGCCCCTATTAGCATGCAATGGGTAGCGGAAGGAGTAAATATCATTGTAACTGCTGCCATATTAAGCTCTTTGCCTGTAAAGAAAATTTTTGTAACTTTTCTAGTACTAAAATGATTATACTACAATTATTGTTTACCAGTCATAGGGTCTGCAGGATTAGTAGTGTATATATTGGCCATCACAGCTATATCTTCTGTAGGATCTGTCACTTTGTCTTCAATAGTTCTAGCTAGTTCATTTTCTTTACATTGTTTCAAAGCATTAATGACATCTCTCCATGATGCTGTAGGATTAACTTGTAACCATTTCTTATGTAATGCCTCCATCCTGAGGTAAGAGCTTCCTTTTGTTTTAATTATATCAACATCAAGTTGTGTTATCCCACCAGGAAGGGAAAGAGCAAATGGTTCCCAATCATTAAGTGGTTCGAGATATTTTGCAAATAAGTCACCAGTTGGTTGATCATCAATCATAGGACCAGGATTGAGTTCAACATCTCCTGATAAGAGGAGGTGGAGAAGTAAAGCCAAATAGTAGATCAGGTCAGAGCTATTTCCAATAGTAGCTATAAACAAGACTAATGACTGGAGGCAGTGGATCATAACAGTAACAGTAATTATACCTATTGTAAATACACAGTATGATAATATTATATACTGTTAGTTTGTTTACCAGTTGGAGGAATAAAATTGAGCTTCATATATCTTAATAAAGATAAAAGAAGAGAAACAATAAGGGACAGAGCTGCTGGCAGTTTAGATGTCTTCTCTCCTGTAGTATTGCCTGACTTGCTGACTACTGCAGCTTTGAATGACTGAGAGTGGCGGCCATTAGCTGGTCTACTGGAGGCAGCTTGACAGTAGTTCCACAGTCCAATACTTGCTCTCCATTGAGAGACATCAATCATCTTGTACTATAGTATGGAGGACAATGAGAGAATTAGGTAACTTAAGGTGTAGCTATTTCAGTGATCACTTACACCACAATAACGAAAGAAGGACTTTAAAGACAAAACCTTTTCTATAAAAAAGCACAATGTTCACTTGAATGGCTAACCACAAGCTAGAGGAAGTCCAGGTCTGTTATAATAACATTCATGTGATTGATGACATACAATATGTAACCTAATGCCAGAAATAGTATCATTGCTATCAATGATGAGGCTCCTTTGTTGCACATAGCTGCTATTTACATAGGTTTAAGTCATCTTGGTACCACTAATAGTAGTTTTTGTTATAGCTTGAAAATTGAAAGTATTACACATAATGTCCTTAATAATGTTCACCAGGAAACAGTAAAGGGTGTATTGCAAAATACAGTATGTGCTAAGTTAGTAACATTCACAAGTGTAAAAAGGAACAATTTTTGCAGTACTATAGCAGGTCAGATTAACAGTATAAAGGATGGGTGTATATTCAGGGCACAAGAAAAGTGGGTGTATGTGTAACTGAACTACATTGTATCATTGAATTATATTCATGGATCATTATCAATGCCATGTGAGAAGTATCTGGGGACTAACCGTGATCTATGAATACAATATGAGTCATTAGTATAACAACTGAATTTTTTAATCTGAAGCATCAACAAAATGTAGGATGAAACTTAAGTTAATAGACATTCATGTAATAAATTATTATTATACTGAACTTATGAATTATGTTCCATGTTCATTTCATACTAATGTAGCTACATTTACATAACAATTATTATCAATGTATAGTTAGCTTATTGTTCACTTCCTTCTCATATAAGTTCTCTCTCCTCCTCCTGGTTGTACTCTTCTCTTTGTATTTGACTCAAGCTTTGGCAGATCAACTTCCTTCAGCAGTGTCTCTACACGTTTCTATGAGGGGCTTTAATTAGAACACTAATAAAGACTAATTTCTTACATTTAAAAAGTTTAATCTTAGTTTTCTCTTAAGTCTGTCTCTTGCTAGTCATTGGAGAAGGACGGCCATCTATAAATAAATATTGGTAATTTTGGCTGTCATAACAAAGGTCTCATGAAAACTTTAATGGCAATACTATACTACTATTATCAAAAAAATTTGGTAATTATTATGTACTCTTGCTAAAACTTAAAAGAAAATGAAAAAATATTTGGTAGCATATGGGGCAGATTATCATTCATGATTGCCCATAATTGTATGTATTTACCCTTCAAATTACAGTATTAGATATTAAAGTGTCATTCATAATACTTACCCACATAAGACCAGTCAGGAATATCAGTCAATGGAGCATATGATGTCATGTACATGTACAAGATATAGCTACCCATCCCAAATATTAACAATAAAATTAATATTAATAATAGAAATAGCTTTTTACTTTTCTCTCCAGTTTCCTCCCACCACAGCCAGTCCCCCTGTGTGTATCCTAGCAGTATTGACTAGCGAGATAAACTGGGGGGAAGTCCTCAGCGCTTTGATACTGGCGGCCATTTTACCACAGGCGAGCACGTGGTTTTAGTATACGGAGTCTGTTTCTACTCTGTATCAGGTGTTATACAGAGATAGTAGAGAAAGATGTCTTCTTCAAGAGCCTCATCTAGACTGCAACTGTGAGAAAAAAATGGAGGAATATATTTAAATGTTTCTCTACCCTTCCTCTCTCTCTCTCTCTTCTCCTTTACTTTTCTCTTTATGTAGTATCTCTACTGATGAATGTTTCTGTTTAGTGCCCACCTCTGGTAACATTGATTAAGTGTTGGAGATTATGAAATTTGACTGTCAACTGCAATTAGTGGGTGGAGTATGAGAACTTGTAGCATGGAAATAATAATAATAATAATAATAATAATAACAAAATTAGTTGCTTTGTAATGGTCATATTGAACATGTGACGAGTGAAATAAAATAAAATTGTTAATTACACAACTTTTTACATATTAATGCATGTACATATTAATCATCATCATTATTTATTTATTTTTATTTTTAAATTAATAGATAGAAGTAAAGTGTCAGCTATTAATGGAGAGAGGAGGGACTGTCAGTTATTAACTGGATTAATTAGATTATTAGGAGGTAAAAGAAGTCATGTGACCTCTTTTAATTAATAATTACTGGTACTATTATAATCCACCACTGTTGTAGAAAGTTTGAGCTGATTTAAACTGATAATTTTGAGTTTAAAAAATAATGAATCAATCTTTAAAAAATACCCAAGGCTAAAAGCCCATGATTTTTTCTGAAAAATGGCTCCGAAATCACCCCAAATTTTTATTACATTTTTTGATACATATTTCATTACTTCTCTCCCCCCTCTCTCTCCTTCAGGTCCTTATTTATTAATTGGTACTCAGCACAGGTTGGTAGGTATCATTAACGGAAACAAGATATATCACATGACTCATTATGATGTCATACCATTTGTTAAGAGCACACTCCATTTAACACAATCACAGGTTAGAGATATACACATGTACATGGACATATTCTCTTTCTTTTCCTATTTATGTATTGTATTTAGTGACAGTGTATTATATTGAGGAGCAATTTTTTGTTGTTTTGAGTTGAGTCTATTATATTATATTTTACCACAACAAGGACATACATGTGTATGTACATGTACAGTATATACATACATGTATTGATGTAAAGTGCTAATTACATTTAATTTTCACTTTAAGGATTACACCTCCATTTAATGGACAGCACCAGTGTACCAATTACATTCCTTAAAATAACCTCCACATAAAGGACATCTCTGTATAACAGAGACACTTTCTTGACCCAAAGTGTCCATTATATGGAGGCAAGTCTGTACATGTATACTTTGTATATGTATTTTATGTACTTGTATCATGTTTACATGTGCATGTACTTTTTTCTCCCCCCTCCTTCTCTCGCTCTATAGGAAAGGGATAATCGTGTCTACCTACCCATATAGAAAAAAACCAGGGTTGTAGCATGATTGTGGCAGCCTTGCAACAACTTGGTTGTCACTACCTGGTCACAACAAAAATTAAAATTCTCTGCTTTCTTTCTTTTTTGAGAAAAAAACCTCAAGTTGATATTTTTACGGGAAATTTTGGTTTGGCAAATCGGCAAATTTTGGTGATTGGTGAATTTTGATTTGGTAAATTTGTGGCCACGTGCCATTGAGCATGTGTATAATGGCTCAAAATGGCGGATGTTAATTTTGGTAAATGGCTATGAAAACGCCAAATTTGCCAAATTTAATTCCCTCCAAAATTTCTGCTGTACAGTATAATGATGAATTAGTAATCCAACAAAAGCGACATGTACTTTTGTCAATTATAGTCACATATATTACAAGTTACCATGTGACTGTCACATGATCACTGACCTGTATTGACATCTGCTTGTTGGTTGAGACTTTTTGCCTCTTCTCTTCATCAATTATAATTAATGTTAATCACTTCTAATATAATGATTGAGTAAGCTGGAGACAAAAAAGAGCAAAATCATGAGGAGACTCAAATAAATCCTAAAAATAAAAAGAAATTAAACTTGTACACATGTAATGTACGTGTATATTATGCACATGTAGCAATAATACATGTACATGTATTAATTCAGAAATCTACAAAAATTATACCCCCTGCTGATTATTATAATTTTTAACTCCCCTCCCCCCAAGGAAATACCGTATACTGGTTTATTTTCGCAGTGGAAAATTTTTGCAAATCTTGTATTTCTAAGATTTCGTGGAATCAATTTTTGCGAATTGCTTGCAGACTGCACTATGTAGCAATGGAGAGCAGAATTTTGCGGTGACAAATTTTTGCAAATGATCACCAAAACACAAAATTTGCAAAATTATTTTACCACAAAAATAAACCGGTATACGGTAATACCCATTATATACACATGTACAATTTGTGATGTGTGTACATGTACATATACTCACTGATTTGAAAGATGATAAAAAAGAACTCTTCAGGTCAACATGACACATACATGTCATACTCTTAATGGGATCAAATACACAGGAACTAATGGAATGAGAGAGAGATAGAGGGTTAATTAGTTAATATAGTAAGGTTAAATAGAAGAATTTAAAACATTAATGGGCTCAGCCCCTGAGCCACGCTATTATTGTGCTGTATGACCTTACCTGCTGCTAGAAAAGTCTTTGGATAACAGTTTAGTGTTATCCTGCTGACCGTTTGCTGCAAATAAGCTGCAGACTTGCTAATAGCCACCATTTTACTTCATTGTGACTACACCCGCTTTCAAATAAGATTAGGCTATTGAACTTTAATAATGGTTAGCTGTAGGGTTAATTGGTTAATATATTAAGGTTAATAAACTTTAATACACCTGCGATGAGGTCAGTTGGTTCTGGTTGTGATTCTTCTAATAAAAAAATGCAACTGTATCACTGTCACTGATTGATTAGCATCTGATACTGGAGTTAACCTACTCACAATAATGGAGGGGAATCACCACCTGCTAACACCATATAACACAAATTTTCAAGGGCTGTAAATTTTGCAAATTTGCCTTAAAAATCTATTTAAGGAATTTAAGTTTCGTGAATCTATGCCATTTGCCATCTTGTACAATAATTTGATTTTTGTGGAAGCAATTTTTGTAAATTTTGAAAAAATAGCAAAATCTGCAAAATTTACAGCCCTCAAAAACTTTGTGCTATACAGTATTATAAATTATACATTATGTACTGTACATGTACATGTACAGTCTCAGTTATTTTGTCCTGGTTTATGCTAATTTGTTTTTATCGAGAAACTGAGACTTTTAGTGACAAATTAATGTACAGGTGTTGCTTACAATATTGTTTACTTGTTTTCTCTTTTTGATAAATATTCTCTTCCACTTAATGGAGTATCATACTGTAAATACTGGAGAGACTAATAACAACAATAAAAAATTACAACAATAATAAATTATAACAACAACAATTACGTATTAATAATTACTTGATAAATGACACCAATTGGCTTCAATCTAAAGAAAAGAAAATAAGAAAAAGAATAAAAATGATACTATTATTATTAATAATAAATAATTATATTAATAATAAAGAATAACAATAATAAATAAATTTATTAATAAGAAATAAATGACATTTTATTATTATTGTTATTATCACTAATCTATACAGTTCAAGGCTTACTATTAGAAGTACACTATACCCTATTTGTGGAAATTTTTGAGGAGATAAATTTTTGCGAATGATGAATTTGCAGGACTTTGCAAGGCCAAATTTTAACGAGGCTGAATTTTCGCAAATTGTTTTGAAGTGCCACCATTTTGTAATAATTTAGAGAGTTAAACTAATTTTCGTGTGTTTTAAAATCACAATTGACCCCCTGTTTCACGAAATTCACAAAAATTTATCCCCTTAAATATTTCCACGTATAAGGTACCTTAAGGAGACAAATATTAGCATGTACTTATTTCAGCGATTTTCATGAAACTGACATTTGGCTGGTACTTAATTTAGCATTTTCGATCATTTGGTATTAATAACTTCTAGAGGAATTAAAGGGGCGAGCCTAAGCAAGCTATAGATTATGTGCTGTGATCTACATGTACAAGCAAGCAAAGCAATTGCACAAGTCTGAATACAGTAGATTTTGTTGCATTAATCTTGCTTACTAAATTGCTTCATCACTGACTCTGCAGCCATTAACATGTAAAGTTATCTTGCTTACAGTTAGAAGCAGTCACTGAACAAAGAAGATTGTCATCTGCTTTGTTAACCTAGGCTAACTGCTAGAGAAGTCTTTAGACAGCAGTTTAGTATTATCTTGCTGACCGTTTGCTGCAAATAAGCTCAGACTTGCCGACAGCCACCATTTTATTCATTGTGACCACACCCACTTTCAATGAAGAAATTAAAATTAGCGCGGACTTAAGTTAGCGATTTTTTTAAATTGCTAAAATTCGCTAAATTAAATACTTGCAAACAATTGTCTCCTTGAGGTATCTAGTACCTCCATAATAATTAGTGCATTAATTATTCGAGCACATCTACATTAAAATATGTACATGTACATGTATCTATACATCAGGTACCTCTCATTCTTTTCATCTGATCTTTTGAAAGGTTGCTGATTGTATTATGAATGTTAGTAGATCGTAAAAACTGAGTTTGTGGGTTCCTCTTAATGAAGTACCAATGAGTACCTGAGATTCAAAAAGACGTCTCACTGAAGGCCACCAGTAATAGTCTCTTGCTACCAGGCACTCCCTCTCTATCACTAGAGGGAGATAATAATAACAATAATGTCACCTACATTATGTACATGTACATGTATGTCAGGGTGTGGCAGAGGATGGAGTCATGAATGTAATTATTATGAATTACATCATGTACACGAAAATAACGGCATTTTATTTCAAAATTATTTATTCATTATAAAGACATTGCAATCATTAGGCGATCTGGTCAGCTTAGTATTGTTATTCATTTACCTTTACTAACACTTTATGCCTTATTCATGTAACACAATTACACTTTCTCACTTTGTTTAACACTATTATTACTCAATATGTACTGACACAGGCTTGCCTGAACAGAACATTCTAGAACTTATACACTTTATTCTACAATAGATCTTTGATTATTGTTGATTCAGTGTCTATATTTGTTGGTTATCGCTCTATCTTTGTCCTATTTGCTGACACTATACGTATACTGGTAAATCTATATCAGTGTAATACTCTATTTTAACTTGCTAGTTTGGGTTTCAGAATTAGCTCAAACAATTGTCAATATTATTTATAATTATAAAATTATATTAGAATATGAAAATACAATAATCATTTTAATAAACAACAAGTCGATTATTTCTATAATCACAAACATACAATACTCCGTTTTTATCAAAAGCTAATCCCCAAGGAACACTAAACTGATCAATATTACTTCCTTTACTTCCAAACTTACTAACAAGCACACCATCACTAGTGAAGACTGATAGACATTTATTGACATAGTCACTAACATACACTAGACCAGTAGCTGCAGTGTCTATTGTTATACCTATTGGCCAGAAAAGCTGTCCAGGACCAGATCCATCAGTACCAAACTGACCCACAAACTTTCCATCTGGAGAGAACTTCTGAATGCAATGATTATCATAATCGGCAACATACACTAATCCTTGACTGTCAATAGCAATGGCACATGGAGACTGAAACCGTCCATTAGCTGATCCTTGACTACCAAATGAATGAGAGAAGGTCAGATCAGGATTCAAGACTTGTATACATTGATTACCCCTATCAGCAATAAAAGCCTGTCCTGTTATAGGAGAAATGGCTATACCATGAGGATTATTGAATTTTAGTGGTCCACTGCCCTTCTTACCAACTGATGCTTTGCGGTATCCATCCATGCTTATCTTCTGGATCCTGTGATTATCAGATACAAGAATGAATTTGTCTGGAGTAATGGCTACACCACGGGGATATGAAAACTTGACATTACAAATTCCTCCTTTCCCTCCTAATGATTTCACTTTCTTTCCTTCTCTATCCAGTATTGTTACACAGTGGCCCCAATTCTCAGTTATTATAACATGATTATCATCACTTACAGCAACTCCAAGAGGACAATTAAGCTCAGTTATAGTACGTACTCGAGTGATGTTATCAAGGTAAGGATTGAAAGGGATGACTAGTGAGGTATCCTCAAGGTATACATCATATACTTGTACTTTTACTGTATGAGCGCCACGTATTGAAGGGTTACACTGTATCCTATACACTCCAGGATCAGTGCTGGTGATAGTGACTGTAGTCTGAATGGGTTGATCACCTTTACCAACTGGTACTAGACTACACCTCAGAGAAGAGAGGGGAACACACAAAAGACATGAATCTGGTGTCTCCATTGATAGTGAAAAGGTAACTGCTTTGCCAGCAGGTGCAATACGATCAATTTTCTTCACTCTACACTGCTTTAGTGCAGTAGTCCCTGAAATAATATCTCCAATGTGATGTAGTGATTTAGGATCTTTACTCAATACAAAATCACCTTTTTCCTTTGGATGCAACTCCTCTACATTGATCCCTGCAGTAACTTCACTCATACGCTCCATCATCTGTTTCTTACACCTTAGGACTTGTTCAGGACTGCCTGTTTTTAGGCTCTGTTCCACATAATCCTCAACATCCTCCAGAACACTCAAACTCATTTCTGCTGATTTTATTTGTTGTGACAGCACCTTTAGTTTATTATCAGTGACCCTCTTTGCCTGCTCAGTCAGTTTCCTCTCTGACTGACGAAGAACAACAATCATTTCCTCTACCATTTCATGTATTTCTTCTAAGACTCCTTCTCCTCTCTCTCTGATCTCACCCTCTCTCTCTGCTAGAGCAGACAGGACCTTCTTGAGTGCTTCCTTCTTTCCCTCAACTGGTGATAGACATTCTGTTAACTTTTGACAGTGTTGAGTATAACTGTCAGCGATTAAGTCGTATTCATGATGTTTGTGATTACGAGCTAAGCAGTGAGAACAGATCACTGCATCACATGTTTCACAGAATAGCTCCAAAGGTTTTCCATGATCACTACATGTGGCCTCTTGAGGATTTGATAAATCTGCTGTCTTCTTCATTAGACTGTACATCTCTTTGAGGTTGTGAAGGTGGAATGCTACAGAAAAGGCTCCTACTCCTTCTTCTGGTAATTCTGTACGATGATGACAAGTGGGACAAGAGAAGTAGAAGGTCTTATTTTTCTTATCCAGAGTAAATCCCTCCAGACAGTGCTGACAGAATGAGTGATGGCAGGGTAGGATCTTAGGGTTGGTATAGTGGTTAAGACACACAGGACAAGTGAGCTGTTCCTCCAGTTTAAGTCTGAGACCAGGAGAAGATGAAAATGGTTTGGTTGCTGTGTAAAGAAAAGAATAAAATTGTCTATGTAAAGCAAGAACAAAAAATGAAAAGAGATAAAGGTAGAAGATGGTAAATGAAAAGGAGCAAGAAGAAACAATAAGAAAATAAAGAAGCTGGAATGAACAAAATACAAAGTCTTAATGACCAGATGAAACAAGAAAACAATCTAAAGAAGGTGGAAGGAAGAGAGAAAGACTAGCTACATGTACACACAAAAAGTGGGCGATACTTTAAATATATTCAAAGATATTGTGACTAAAGGAAGTTATGATAGTACATAATGAATAGTGGCTTTACCATAGCAACCACTGTACCCAATGTACATGAACTTTATTACCTGCATTATGACGGATGTTCATGTAAGACATACATGTACATGTATAAATTCTAATTCCATGTAGTCTTTAATCTCAAGCAGAACATCATAATGTAGCTACAGTATTTTATACCTGGAGCTGGCTAATTGCAAAAATTTTTGATGATTAGAGAGTTTTAATTTGGCAAATCTTGTCATCATGTGCCATTGAGCATGTGCATAAATTATTCAAAATGGTGAGTTATTGGTTAATGGCTATTAATATACCAAATTTGGCAAAAATTCTCCTTCCTTTAAAATTACCAGCTATACAGTTTATCATATCAATAATCTCTATAGTATGACTGATTGTCAGGAGTAATAATAAGTAGAATATTAAAGAAGATAGATGGAGCAA